TCTTGCAGCGTCTCATGCAACAACAGTCTAAAAACACATATAGATATACTTTTTTCATTATTTAAATGTATCTGTTTTTTCATTTATATTTTATTAAATTTTCAATTTTGTATTATTTGTTATTTTGTTTGTTTTAGACTATGCACTTTAAGTGCTGCGCAAGTATATAAGTGCAAGTGTGTCTGTCTATTTATATATATATATATATATATGCTTTTCATATTATAAATATTTATAATTTTATCATTTATTGTAATTATTTAATTCACGTATATGTATTTTATTATTTTTATTTGTTTTGAATTGTTATTTTTTTAGACTACGCCGTTCGAGTTCTGTTTATTATTTTAATAATAGTAAGTGATTCAGTGAGTCCAATTCAGTAAACTCATTCCGACAGTAACCTCTGAGTTAGCGAGTCTTCTTGAATGAATCATTCAAAGAACTGGTTCATAAGAGTCATTTGTTTATGAATCAGACTGTACCGGGCGTGTTGTATGGTATTGCGCACAGCCAGCGAAAAATACTGAATAGATTAACGTGTTTTTCTTTTATGAATCAGAAAATTGACTTTTTACCCAGTTTCCATGTTTCTCATATGAATGTCCAATACAGTTTTGTTTTGTTTTATAAAGTCACTTATTACGTTAACAAATATGCTTACTCATATTTAATGTTTTTGTTTCATTTTGTATACAGACTCAGATTCATTACAGATTCAGGTTCATTACAGATTCAGGTTCATTACAGAGTCAGATTCATTACAGATTTGGATTCATTTCAGATTCGAATTCATTACAGATTCATTACAGATTTAGATTCATTAGATTCATTACAGAGTCAGATTCATTGCAGATTCATTACAGATTCAGATTCGTTACAGATTCAAATTCGTTACAGATTCAAATTCATTACAGATTCAGATTCATTACAGAGTCCGATTCATTACAGATTCATTACAGATTCTGTTGAGGTTTCCTCATATTTTCACTCTCTGTCTGTCTGTGGTTTGTTGTTGTCGGGCTCCAGATCTATCGAATCTCTCCCTGATAATCAAAAGTACCGTCAGCTGCAGCGGGAGCTCTCTCAGGTTCTGACCCAGCGTCAGATCTACATTGACTAGGGTCAGAGCTGTTTGCGTGTGTTCGCCTGCAGACCTCCTTAACAGACACACTAACTGCATGCAGGTGCATTCTGGGTACAGTTCATCAATATTAACGAGTGTTCATAAACCTCCAGTGTGGTTTAAACTGTAGTTTAATGCAGTGTTTATGAGGTCAAATTCGTTTTTTATTGCACAGTTGAGTTGTTTTCTCAGGGTTTACATGGGTCCTTAAAAGTCTTACATTTGGTTTGATCAAATTTAAGGCTATAAAAAGTCTTAAATCTTAAATAGTATAATAAAAGTATTAATCATTATTGAGCACCATTGACGAATTGACAGTAGAAACCTGTACGCTGACGAAATAAACCTGTCTCACTCTCCTCCCTCGTTTCTTTCGTGTTTTTCAGGAGCGTTCAGATGCTGGCGGATAAATCGAAGCAGGAGGCTCTGAAGAACGACCTGATGCAAGTGCTTAGCCAACGCAGCAAACAGCAAAGCTAGAGACGATCACCTGCCCGTCTCTCTCTCTCTCTCTCTCTCTCTCTCTCCGTCTGTCTGTCTCACTCTCTCTGTCTCTCCACCTCACGGCTGTCTGTCTCCATCTGCGCAAAACAAAGGAAAAAAGAGAAAAGGCTACGCTTTTTGTTTTTGTATTTCGGCTCGCGTTTCACCTCACCCGTCTCTCTCTCTCTCTGGTCTGTAATCATGTTGTATTAAGACAGCGTCTGATTGGCTCTCAGTGACATCATCGCAGTGGGGGCGGAGCTTTTCTCCCGCCATCAGAAGAACAAGTTTTCTCGTAGTCTCACCCGTCACGTACGCGCATCAGGAATAAACGAGGAGCGGGTGATTATATAAATATAAATATATATATAAATATCCACACGTATGTATGTATTATGACCATTGTCTTGCTGGTAATATTAAACTTTCTGCTCGAGTCCATGCAGACGAGTGTGTGTTTTGCGCGAGTGTGTTTAACGTGTGTTTGTGTCATGAAGCAGCAAGCATATTCCCCTCTTTGTCCATCTGGGAGCGTCAGACGGTTTCGTTGTTTTCTTCGGGGTGGATTATTATTTGTCGAGTTTTCTTTTGGTCTTTATTTTTATTTTTTGCTTTTGTTTTTTGTAAAGCTTACAGTTTATGTTGTATTAGGGCCTCCAGCAACAATAAAAACAGGAAAAACTGAGCCTGCGTGCTTTGTATTTGTATAAAACGTTTTCTGGTTTTCTCACGGGTCATATCATGATCACTCTCTTCTCACATAATCAGTTACACATAATCAATATTTCATGAACAGTTATTCATTCTCTAAGTAGCCATATAATAGCCATGTCATTATCACAAATTACACACTTATCGCTTTTAACCGCTCTGGTGATTTAATCTTAATGGAATGAATAGTCACATAAATCTGTTTGTGGTTGTCGAGGGGAGATTTACAGATTTGGTCATCTAGACGCAGTGAGACAAATCTTTATATACACGGAAGCTTTTAAAAAATCTTTCGAAACAATTGATCATGGCTTACTATTGATGAAATTAGAAAGATATGGTATAAGAGGGCTAGCTTATTCATGGTTATGAAGGTATCTTGAGGATAGATATCAATATGTTAGCATGAATCGTGATTTATTGAAGGTTACTTGTGGTGTACCACAGGGTTCGGTGTTAGGCCCTAAATGGTTTGTACTGTATATAAATGACATTTGTAAGGTGTCATGAGTATTGAAAGTTGTCTTATTTTTTGATGAGATGCTAACAGGTTCTTATTGAATTTTAGTAAAACAAAGTGTATATTATTTTATAATCGGCAAACTGTTAATCATGTGTGAAATTTGGATTAAAAATGAAAAGAAAAAAAAATAGATGTCAGTAAAATTTTTGGGTGTAATTGATAAATCATGTTGGAAAAAATTAATAATGTCCAACTGTAGTGTTATATAAAACCAGAATCAGAGTTCATTATATATCGTGTAGTTCTCTCATATGTTAATTATTGTATGGGAGTATAAGGAAACACAAAATAAACAGAAATCCAATTTATGTTACAAAAGAGAGCTATAAGGATGTTCGTATCGTATATATTTATTGATTCTTTACTACTAATTATTCCTGATTTTATTATAATTAGTTATTTTTATTTTTTGGCGACTTTGGCTATTTTTATCCTCAGAAAAAATCGCGCCAGTTGCTGGGCAGATTAGAACATTTGATAAAATATGTGAGAACTTTACAATACGTGAAGTAAAATATTAATCGGTTTTACTAAACGCTCGTGTTAAACCATAAGTCATATGTAGCATTAGTAATTAACAGTAATGTAAAGATTCAGTAGATCATTTACAGGGAAACGTGTTTGGTTTTATCCAGGGTCTTCATCCAAATGAACAGCTCCCTCTAGCGGTGAGCAAATACAAGCGCACTTCACAAGACAGGTGCAGCTGTTCATTTAAATACTCCAAATATGTGTAAATATAAACGTATTGGTATTTAAATATGTACAACAGAAATTAAAATCCCAGCTTTCTGTGAGGTAAACGAAAGAAATGACATGCGCTGACGTGCTCTGGACAGCAGAGGGCGCCAAAACAACACAAAAAACACTTCCGGAGTTTAAAAGAAGCATGTAAACAGCTCACTCTGACATTAAGCAAAAATTACTTCTTTCACTGATGCCTTAAATGCTTGTCTTATTATGGGTTTTAAATGCTTGACTTGTATTTGTGCATTCATAAATGAGTATTTTGTTTACATAGCTAAGCAGAAGAAACAACTCAACCAAACTATGACAATAAATATTTTATTTTATAGTTATTGTTATTTGGAGATTTAGCGGTGTGAGGCACCTTTTGGATTTCTTTCAGGAAAACAGGAGGTAACCATTTATTGAAGTCACACAAGCACTATAATAGTATCTCCATAACTTGAAAGCGCGGTGTATTTGTAATTCTATTCATAATAACCAGTGTTGGGAAGGTTACTTTGGATTAGTAGATTAGTTACCCTATCTAAACGGAAGAGTTGAAATTCGTAATTCTGTTACATGGACTCTGTTAATAACACAATTCCAGCAAACACAGAACATTGTCCTTCCTGCTTGGTTATATTTTGGGAACCAAATGAGAACATCATGAGAGCGTTCTCTCACCAAAAGATATCGATTAAAACACACACAGAATTTGTAATGGTTTATAAAGGGACTTGTATTGGTTTTAATGTAAACTTCTCTACTGGTAATTGTTCACCTTCTATTGGTGGCTTGTTCAAACCAATACATCCTAATGGAATATGTCCCAAAGCACACTACAGAGAACCATTTTTAATGGTTTTAATGGTTAAAAGTTGATGGTTTGTAATGGTATTTGTAGTGGAAACCATTAGAATTTCTGTGATGGTTGTTTTTTCAGCAGGGCAGAGCGTTCTGGGAACCAAAATATGTGACTTTTCCATTGATAAGCGTCTTTAATGCAGCTCTTCTCTCAGTCTTGATGCAGATCTATTTGATCTGAATGCGCAGCACTGGCCGGTGGTTTTGAGGCAATTGCTGTTGCCCTTTTAAGATCTGCCCCCCTCTCCCTTTCTCTGTGAATCAGGTTTATGTTAATGATCCCCTCCCCAGACTCGATCCGTGTTCACTGGAGGTGTGTGTGTGTGTGTGTGTGTGGTTCAGCATGGAGACTCCGCACGCCAACTTTGCGGAGAAAAACTGGCTTTAATTCACTCGCAGCATGCACCGAGGAGCGATGAAGCGGGATTTGTTGCTCTTTGTTTTGGGGTGGATCAAACTCCCGTGGCTCGTGGATTGTGTCGTTGTTCATGTGAGTGAGAATGCGGGAAAGGGCACCGCGATCGCCGGTCTGGAGCGAAGCGCCGCTTGCGCGCTGGAGCAGCTCATCATGCCGCGCTTCGCCCGGAGTCTCCTGCGCCCGGATGCGGGTGTTCTGACTCTTTCTGACGCTTTGAACTGCGACTCGGTTCTTCTGAACCCGTTCAGCGTGTACGCGGTCGCGGAGTGTTTGGATAACGCGTCCGGTTTTAGACACCTCGTAACGAGTCGGTATGATGTGCACGTACACGGGAAGAACTGCGCGAGGGAACGCAAACGGGAATCAAATAACCTGGACGTGGAGATTATAAGTTTAACAGACGCGACTTCAAAGTGCCACGAGGCGAACACTGCTGTTTTCCGGGTGTTTGGTGTGTTACCGGGCAACTGTCACGTAACCGGGACTTCAGCGCTTTATATCTCCAAAGGGATGCTGTTCACTTCCGCTCCGCTGTGTTTCACTCGCGACTCGTTGCTGGAGTTTACGCTGCGCTGCGAAAGAGGCGCACGTAGTGGTTTCGCGCATGCGCATTGGCGCGTGGGCCGCGGCCCTTTCACGCAAGCGCACCTGAGGAAGGTGCTGCAGCGGGCCGCGGATTCGAACTCGGGTCTGCTGAGCAGAAGGAAGAGGAATGTCAACAATAACCCTCAGTTTCAACCTCCCATGTATCAGGTGTCCGTTCCAGAGAATCAACCAGCTGGGACTTTTGTTGTTGTTTTAAAAGCATTTGACCCGGATGAGGGTGAAGCTGGAAGGCTGGAATATGTCTTAGAGGCATTGTTTGATAGTCGCTCCAACAATCTCTTCACTGTCGACTCGTCAAGCGGAGTCGTTTCCACCGTGGAGATACTAGATAGAGAAACTAAGGACATGCATGTTTTTAGGGTCACGGCGGTTGATCATGGAACGCCACGACGTACGGCAATGGCCACTCTTACTGTAACGGTTAGCGATACGAACGATCACGACCCTGTATTTGAGCAGCAGGATTATAAAGAAAGCGTACGTGAGAATCTGGAGATTGGTTACGAGGTTCTAACTGTGCGCGCCACGGATGGCGACGCTCCCGTTAACGGAAACATCCTTTATCATTTGCTGAACAACAACAATGAGACTAACGATGTTTTTGAGATCGATTCCCGGTCTGGCGTTATTCGCACGCGAGGACTGGTTGACCGCGAAACGGTCGAATCCTATGTGCTTCTAGTCGAAGCCAATGACCAAGGACGGGATCCCAGCCCCCGAAGTGCGACGGCGACCGTCCACATCGTCGTGGAGGATGATAACGACAACGCGCCGCAGTTCAGCGAGAAACGCTACGTCGTTAAGGTTCCCGAAGACTTGACGCCCAACACCGAAATCCTGCAGGTGACGGCGACAGACCAGGACCGCGGGAACAATGCCGTTGTCCATTTTAGCATAATGAGCGGCAACACAAGGGGCCAGTTTTACATCGACGCCCAAACGGGAAAATTAGATTTGGTGAGTCAGCTGGATTACGAGATGAATAAAGAGTACACGCTTCGCATTCGAGCGCAAGATGGCTTAACGACAACAACCCTGAGTTCACGCAAAAGGCCTACTACATGCGCCTAAACGAGGACGCGGCTGTAGGAACGAGCGTCGTCACCGTGTCCGCCGTCGATCAGGATATTAACAGCGTTGTTACGTATCAGATCTCGACTGGGAATACGAGAAACCGTTTTTCCATCACTAGCCAGAGCGGCGGAGGCCTGATTACGCTCGCGCTACCGTTGGACTATAAACTGGAAAGACAGTACGTCCTCACCGTAACGGCGTCTGACGGCACGCGCTTCGACACCGCTAAGGTTTACGTTAACGTAACGGACGCTAACACGCACAGGCCGGTTTTCCAGAGTTCGCATTACACGGTCAACATCAACGAAGACCGGCCTGTCAGGACGATCGTAGTGATGATTAGCGCGACGGACGAGGACACGGGCGAGAACGCTCGAATCACGTACTTCATGGACGACAGCATCCCGCAGTTTAACATCGATCCGGATAGCGGTGCGGTAACCACGCAGATGGAGCTGGACTACGAAGATCAAGTTTCCTACACGCTCGCCATCACGGCTCGAGACAACGGCATCCCGCAGAAATCCGACACCACTTACTTGGAGATCCTGGTGAACGATGTGAACGACAACTCGCCCGTGTTCCTTCGCGACCGCTATTTGGGATCAGTCATGGAGGACATTCCCACGTTCACCAGCGTCCTGCAGGTGTCCGCGACCGACCGAGACTCGGGCCTTAACGGACGTGTCTTCTACACGTTCCAGGGCGGAGAAGATGGAGATGGAGACTTCATCATCGAGTCCACGTCGGGGATCGTACGAACCCTGCGACGCCTTGACCGAGAAAACACGCCCATTTATAACCTCCAAGCCTTCGCGGTGGATAAAGGTGTTCCGCCGCTCAAGACGCCGGTTGATATCCAGGTGACCGTTTTAGACGTAAATGACAACCCGCCTGTGTTCGAGAAAGATGAGTTTGATATCTTTGTAGAGGAGAACAGTCCCATCGGACTCGTGGTGGCCCACATATCTGCGTCAGACCCAGACGAAGGCAGCAACGCTCAAATCATGTACCAGATCGTCGAAGGCAACATCCCTGAGGTCTTCCAACTGGACATCTTCTCCGGCGAGCTCACCGCTCTGACCGACCTCGACTACGAGACGCGTTCGGAGTATATCATCGTAGTTCAAGCCACGTCTGCGCCGCTGGTCAGCAGAGCCACGGTCCACATCAAACTCATCGACAAGAACGACAACGTCCCCGTCCTCAAGAACTTCCAGATTATATTTAACAACTACGTAACCGATAAGACCAACAGCTTCCCGTCGGGTGTGATCGGCCGGATCCCGGCTCACGACCCGGACATCTCCGATCAGCTCCACTACAGCTTCCAGGCTGGAAACGAGCTGAATTTGGTGCTTCTGAACCAGAGCACCGGAGAGATCCGACTCAGCCGAGCCCTGGACAACAACAGACCGCTGGAGGCGTCCATGAAGATCTCCGTCTCGGGTAAGAACCTGCTTCAGATCTTTCAATTAGTGGTCGACCGATATTGTTTTTTTGACAGCCGATGCCAATATCTTAGAGAGCAGGGTGGCCGATATAAAACCGATATATATATATATCATTTTTATTAATTCTAATTAATATTTAAGAAATTTGAAAATGATAAATGTGTAAATTAAGCTGAATTCGCATGGACCGACCGTCACACAGCGAACACGCGATCATGCAGGATACAAACGCGCACTTTATAAGATCTCACAGCTAAGTCTGCAAGGTTTGTGAAATTAAATGGTTATCAGACATTCAAAGATCTGTTTAAATGATATAAACGTGTATTTGCTGAATGCTGGGTAAACAAGAAAGTATTACGATTGCCTTTCTATTACTAATAATATAAAAGCAATCATTATAGTACTTTTTTGTATAGCTTTTAATTCCTTTGTTTATCATCCTATCTGATTATTAGACAGACTTCTATTCCTATTAGAAATAACTCTTAAATTGTGACAGCAGACAATGAGTGTGAGCGCTGTGTGCTGTCGTTCTCAGCGACGTCAAAATAAAAGTCCCGCCTCGGACACATCGGCCAAACAGAAAAACTTATCGGCCGATGCCGATATTTGAAAAATGTCAAATATCGGCCGATATATCGGCCTTGGCAATATATCGGTCGACCACTACTTTCAATGTGATTGTTTTGTAGGACTGAGCGCTTGCGTGACATCTGTGCATTTGTAGGTCGGCAGTGATGTATAATACATTACCTTTGCTCCAACATGCAGTGGCTCGGTATTAATAAATGAGCGAGTGAATGGATGTTGGTTTAGCAGATCTGTCTCCATTTACTTCAGGTTATTTGACATTGAAGCAGATCCAGTGTAGTGCACATTAACTGCTAGTCATGAATGTGCAGTGGTCTGTCTTCACGTGATTGCGTGACTGTGGCCTGATGGACGGCCGCCGGAGAAACACGCTCGGCTGCATTCATGATTTTTGTTTGTTCTGACAGAAAAGATGCATTACAGGCCAATTAATATGAGACAAAACTGCAGGACTAGGTCTGTTTTGTAGCGTTTTAATGGTGCTGACAGAAACCCTCGCTCAGTCAGTGATGTTTAAACATCTCTTTATTTTACAGGGCTCAATAATTCAAAATATCCAAGACCGATTGTGTAAGTCTGTAAGACATAAAAACATGGAACTCATCAACAAATGTTGAGATTTAGCACTGGTGCAGTGGGTACACTGGCCCTCAGTGGCCCCGGGCATCAGGACATCCTCATTGTTGAGCCCTGATTTACATGCAGTTCAGCTGCTCTTTGTGTCTGTGAGGGTCAAGGGTCAGATGGCCAGCGCGGATCACCTCTCTATCAGTGGTGTAAGAGCTGTTAGCGGCCGTTAACACAGCACCAGGACTTGTTTTTGTAGCGCTGAACCTCGAGAGTGTATTTAATGAAAGAGGAAGAGGCCCTAGTGACACCTGAGTGTGTGTGTGTGCGTGTGTGTGTGTGTATGCGCTTATAGATTGATTCATACGTGTGTAACAGCTGTTGCCACGTCTCATCCAATCAGAGAGCAGCGCTCAGCGCTCGCATCACACCTGCTGAGAGAGATAAAAATACTGCTGAGGAGGAGTGTGTTGCATTAGAGGTGTGTGAGTGTGTGTGTGTGAGTGAGTGTGCGTGTGTCTGTGTGTGTGTACGTCCGTGAGTGCCAGAGTTGGGTATAACGCGTTACTGTATTCTAATTACTTTTCCTGGTAACGCAGTAAAGTAATGCGTTACATTTTAAATTTATGTAATTTGATTACAGTTACTAATGTCAACAAAAGTACGTTACTTAAGTTACAAATGCAGTTTTAAAAATATGAAGTAAAAATCATGTTTTGCGCGTCAGTATGTCCTTTAATAAACCACCGGAGATTGCGAGCTAAAATGCAGACGAGTCCTACAACATTAAATGCTATGAAAGGTTGCCTATCATATTTCAAAATGTTGCACTCGATTTCACATATTTTAGTCTGGCATTATAGTTTGGGAAAAGTTCAACAAGTGAATGTGTACAAGTTTATGTCACAGTAACACTAATATAAGTATAAATGACTCAGAATGAGATCCTCCGCTGGATCAAGCCGCGTCGCATCGCATTCTTCTTCTGAGGTAAATTCAAGGCTTATTCCTCACAGCGTGTCTTCTTCCAAAAATGAAAAGTAGCCGAGATGAACTTGAATCTTTCTTTGTTTACAGAGGTGATGTGGACTTTAACATGTTCGTGCGTCTCAAGCTTGGTTTCGCGTGGATGATTATCTTATAGTGCGAGATGGCATGCTCACATTACAGCTGAGCTCAGACGGGAAAGACTGTACCTCGCGTTGGTTTCATACGGATTATTTTATCAGAGAATATTTGTTTTCGACATGACTTACTTCATTTAAAAAATAGACACTTCAAGCTTTCTTTAGATATATTTCTCATGTCATTTTCGCTCATTTTAGTGACTTGTTTCAGGAAGATATTCGCGGAGACTGAGAATGCAGAAAGCGCACCCTATTTGTTTCCTTTATTTTACAAAACCAAAAAAAAAAGTTTTGTTGATATTGCGAGTGTATACAAATAATACTTATGTAATTTTTCAGTTAATCAAATTGCAATTTTAAAGAAGTAATTAGTACTTTGTAGTGAATTACTTTTTTTGAGTAACTTACCCAACACTAGTGAGTGCAATAGTGAGTTTGTATTTGTGAGTGTGTGAGCGATAGTGAGTGTGTGTGTGTACATACACATACGAGTGAGTGTTAGTGTGTGTTGTCATGGGAACTAAACGAGTGTTTCCTCCACCTGAGCTCAGACTGGAACAGAGCGTGCTCAGCAGGGGGCGGGGCTAATTCTGCCTCATCAGCCAATCACACGGCACAAATCCATTCCACTCTCAGCAGCAGCAGCAGCAGGACAGATGTGTTCATCAGGACTGAATCAGTCAGTATCAGGACAGTCTGAGTCTCTGCTCACAAACATCTTCTCAAATCAAGAGCTCAGAGCCACTCACAGCCATCCAGAGAAATCACACACACACTCGCGCCTCCTACGCAACACATTTCCCTGCTGTTACACACGGACCGAAGCAGCACAGATCCAGCATCACTTGTGTGTTTGCAGTGCTGGTCAGAGAACTGACGTCTGACTGCTTCAGTTTGAACAGGAAACAAGAAGACGCGACTCAGCGCTTCACAAAAGCATTTCTCAGCGGCATTATTCACACGCAAGAGAAAAGACACTGAAAGACATGGAGGAGGGGCGAGAGACACACACACAACAGCAGAGAGAGAGAGAGAGAGTGAAGGTGAACACGAGGAGGTGAAGTTCTGACTGATGACCTCAGAAACACACTCAACACACAGACGAGAGACCGAAACCAGCCTGACCGCCGAAAACACACTGCAACACGCTAAACGCTCATACCACAGCAACCACGATACCAGGAAACACAGTAGTGATCAATTAATAGCCAAATAAAGCCATTCATTCGACTAAAGTTACACACCACAAACAACTACAGTAACAAACAATAACTATAATGATGCCTACAACATTAATTAAAATAACTGTTACAATAACTATAATGATATAATTATATCTAAAATAATTATAATGATAACTATACCTATAATGATAACTACAGCTATAATTAAAATAACTATAATGTTAACTATAAAACTAACGATAACTAAAATAATAATAATGATAACGATAATGACAAATATAATGATGAAATTAAAACTAAAATAATTATGATACCAATAACTAATGATAACTATAACGATAACTAGAGTACAACGATAATTAATAACTATAACGATAACTATAGTAATAGCGATAACTGAAATAATTATAATGATAACAATAACTATAATGATAGCTATAACGATAATTATTAACTACTATAACGATAACTGAAATAATTATAATGATAACAATAACTATAATGATAGCTATAACGATAATTATTAACTACTATAACGATAACTGAAATAATTATAATGATAACAATAACTATAATGATAGCTATAACGATAATTATTAACTACTATAACGATAACTGAAATAATTATAATGATAACAATAACTATAATGATAGCTATAACGATAATTATTAACTACTATAACGATAACTGAAATAATTATAATGATAAAAATAACTATAATGATAACTATAACGATAATTAATAACTACTATAACGATAACTATAGTAATAGCGATAGCTGAAATAATTATAATGATAACGATAACGATAATTAATAACTACTATAACGATAACTATAGTAATAGCGATAGCTGAAATAATTATAATGATAACGATAACGATAATTAATAACTACTATAACGATAACTATAGTAATAGCGATAGCTGAAATAATTATAATGATAACGATAACGATAATTAATAACTACTATAACGATAACTATAGTAATAGCGATAGCTGAAATAATTATAATGATAACGATAACGATAATTAATAACTACTATAACGATAACTATAGTAATAGCGATAGCTGAAATAATTATAATGATAACGATAACGATAATTAATAACTACTATAACGATAACTATAGTAATAGCGATAGCTGAAATAATTATAATGATAACGATAACGATAATTAATAACTACTATAACGATAACTATAGTAATAGCGATAGCTGAAATAATTATAATGATAACGATAACGATAATTAATAACTACTATAACGATAACTATAGTAATAGCGATAGCTGAAATAATTATAATGATAACGATAACGATAATTAATAACTACTATAACGATAACTATAGTAATAGCGATAGCTGAAATAATTATAATGATAACGATAACGATAATTAATAACTACTATAACGATAACTATAGTAATAGCGATAGCTGAAATAATTATAATGATAACGATAACGATAATTAATAACTACTATAACGATAACTATAGTAATAGCGATAGCTGAAATAATTATA